GTCGGACGCTTAACCGACTGCGCCACCCAGGCGCCCCAACTTTACCCCTTCTAATAGTGGTGTTCTTGGTCCTTTTTGCTTTTAATTTGATCTTGCCAAATGTTCGTATTTCTGACCCATGTGTTTTGGAAATGATGGGGGTAGTATAGGGTCTGATTTTATCTTTGTCTCTTTAATTTTGAATTCTTCACTTCCTTTTTCCTCTTTTAATTTAGAAGAATGGATTCTATGGTTAAGTCACCTGAGAGGTATCACAAAAGAGTATAAATATGATATGAATGGGTAGAAGTGTGTGGGTCTTCTAGACAAGGGGGGAGGATTGAAAAAGAAAGAGCCTAGGATAGAATATGAAGTATGTTTGGAACGTGAAAAGAAGTCAACTCGAGCAGAAAGTCTGAAGAAATAGGAAGCAAACATGGGTTATTGAGGGAGGATCACATTTTGGAGAATCCTGAAAGCTAGGGAGAGAAAGAATTCTTCATGTGTAAATTAGATGTTCTTAATGCAGATAACCAAATAAGTATGCATTTACAAAATAAGCCCTGTGTCAAAGCTTGCTGTCCAGGATCATCTTTCACGCTTGTTTATGTTGATCTTACGTGTTCATTTTCCTTTATTCCACGAGCTCAGAGCAGCGCACCAGGATTCACATGAACTAATTTTGTGCACCTTCTTTGAGTTTTACTTTGCATTTGACATTCTAACCAGGTGAGTTTTAGAGTGATGGCTGAGGACGGTCACCTCACCTGAGAGAGATAGTAAAAGTCTGTCATATCGTGGGTAATTCTAGAACTTCTTTCCTTCAATTCGCTTCTTCTGCCTTTTCAGCTGCACCTGCTCCCCAAATCATAAATCTCTGTTTCCTTGCATACAGTAAGCAGATGAGATGAAAATGTGCTAAATACGAGTAGATGGCCATGTCTGCAGGCCTGAACTATTTTGTTGCCTCTCGAGTAGCATGGAGATGGTGGCTTACTGAGAATTGGGTGAAACGGTGAATGATGGCGCCCACAATATTTTCAAGGGCACAGATTGCTGTGTAAGGATGTGGAAGCCAAGAACTTCGACTGAATGATGTCGCCGAATTCAGGACAGTTAGCTCTTCAGAAGTGGCAATTTTATGCCAGAGGGGAGATATAGAGAACTGAGCCTTTTCCTTTGGCTTTTGCATAAAATTGTGGGTTTTTTTTCTTCTATCTCTAGGGGACTCATTCTCTCAGTTCCGCTTTGTCGAGGAGAAGGAGTGGGATGGTGAAGCGTCGTGTCCAAAACAGGTAAGATGGTTTGTCTCGAATGCGGGTTGGCTCTGCTCAAGGCTGGAGACTAACATCCTTACATTATTGTTGAGATAGAGTCTCCGTGTAGAAAAGAGTAGTCATTCATGTACAATTTAGTCTCCGTTACAGAAACCGTTCAGAAAATGTCTGGGAAGCTTAAATTATACAGGTCTTTGAAGCTAGAGTTCACCTTTACACCTGGCCATCTGTGTGAATTCCTCACATAGACTGGGCTGCAAGGTAGTGAGTTTATAGTCATGATTTTTGTGTGGATTGCTCTGCCGTTGGGCCTCTCTTCTTTCCCTTTCTGTGAAACTTCCCCTTGGAGTTGAAAAGTAATTTTTTCCCCCTCATACTGCTTTTGGTATCAGGTGAAAAAAAATCCTCAAGTTTATAGCTTTAGATAACTCTTTATCTGTAATTAGAAGAATAAAGCTATAAAAATAAGGACAAATATCACAGAAGCCTTTCAGTGAATCCAGAAAGGCCAACCACTTCATTCGCTTTGTGTTCGTGCCATACTTCCATCCCAAGGAGTTTCGATTCTTTTCCAAGTGGGATTTGACTGATTGTTTCCATATGAGAGATGACAGGTGTTCTTACCCTTTTACAAAGCGCAGAGAATGAGTGGTGGCTTGTCATGGGCTCCCTGACTCCATGGCTAGGGCATACTGTCTGATACAATGATTAGACAATCTGTCCACAGCTTCAGGCAGGTGGCTGAATAGCAGACCTGAAGCCCAAGGGTCGGGCACCCTCCTCCCCATTCTGCTATTAGCTCCGCACACACACACACTGTAAGTGGTTCATTTTACCCCTGGACTGGTGTGATGTCTACTTGTTTGGGATGAGCACTGATTTACCACACTGTGCGGCGGGGGGTGTTACTTACAAAGTGACTGCCTGTCACTTTACATAGGGCATGTATTACCCCATGGAGAAAGTAGGGAATTAAAAATATTGTCTGCTTGAGTCTGTGTGGTCAGATGCCTGAGGTGCAGTTTAGCATTCTAGGACAAATTGCAAACAGATAACCTCTCACATTTCAACTCCTTTTGGGCCGTGTTGACTCTCAGAGAAGGTTTCAGTTATCCCGAGCGTTTCAAATAATCCTAAAGTTCTTCATTCATCAGAACACTGAGAACTTGCTCTTTACTAGATATTTTATTAGATGCAGCCTGTTCAAAGATGAACCAGAGACCATGCTCGTGCATTGCCCGTAGCACGGTGGCTGACCTAAAGTAGATGATCAGCAAATATTTTTGTAATGAATGAAAAAGCGTGACATAAAATAAGTGGGGTCATCAGTGAATGAAGATAATACTGTGGGGACCACTTTGGGCTGGCAGGGATGGAGAGCAGCACCCGGGGAAGGAGATCGTTTGCTGCGGCGTCTCGGCAGAGGAGTGTGATTCTGGGGGGTCCTGTCAAGGGAGGAGAGCTGAAAGACCGGCTGTGCTGAGAGTCAGAATGTCATTGGGGTGCAGTGTTCCCAGAGGAGGGGGCTTCAGGGGTTGTCCTGGGCCAGTTAGTACCAGCAGTTTGATCTTCATTTTCTTCTGGGGGGATGTTTAGCATGTGGGTAAGAGCACAGACCTTGGAGAGACATGCCTGAAGGTGGGTGTATCTTAGTTCTAGGACTTGGGCTGACTTGTTTCCTTCTCTTGTGTTCTCATCTGTAAAATGGAACTAATAATAGGATATAACTTGGGGTTATAATGTTGGTTTATTTCTATCATCTTCTGCCTTTTTCTAAAAGGTCATTTGTAATCATCACCTGATATATATGTAATTTTTTGTTTGTTGATAGAATTCGGCATTTTATGTGGACTGTGAGTCATTGGTTCGCGCCCTTCAAGAACTGCCTCTCTCGCTCCGACTCAATGTCGCTGCTGAATTGGTCCAGGTAAAAACCCCGATAGCATCTTCCAGCCAGTGTGGGTTAGGGCAGCAGAAGAAAAAAACAAGTGAAAAATATCCCTCTGCAGAATGTCTCACAGTGAGCTTTTCCTTTCGTAAATCTGAGGGTTTTGCATTAAGGTAGCATTTTGAAAAGTTTTAAGGGAGAATGAAGTAATTTTTAGAGTTCTTTTCTTTTCTTTCTTTCTTTTTTTTTTTTTTTAACATTTTACATTTGAAACATTTTGAAGGATCAAAGGTAATGGAACTGAATGAAATGTAAAAAGATAAAGTCTAGCTGCTATTTTACTCACAAACTTATATGCCAGACTCTTTGTTAGCACTAAGGGGTGATCAGACAGACATGGTTCCTGCTCTTTGGAGCTTAATCTGTTGGGAAATTGGAGTATCAATCAAGTGACCCAATTGTGTTAAGTCCTACGAAGGAGAAGCCTAGTGTGCTGTGAGCATACATAATAACGAACCCGATCTACGTTGGTGTGCTTAAGAATGCCTTTCCTGCAGGAGTGTCCGATTAGCTGAGATCCAAAGTAGAACAACGTCTGAGTTGAAATTTAAAGAAGAGTGACCCAACCGGATCTACCTTGGCAATACTGCTCATAACGATAATAGCAAGGGCCATTCTGGCTGCAGGGTAGTGGAGAGTAGACTAGGGGAATAGGCAGAAGTGTCTGGTAAATGTGTGCATGCAGGCACGTGGCGGAGGAGAGTGGAGGAGGGGAAGCAAAACAGGAGGCCGCTGCACGGGTCCCGTGGGATCCCTCTGTGATCGTGTTGCTGGGGCTAGGGTGATGATGGTGGAGGTGACAGAGAGCTTGACTTTACTTTTGAGCACCTGTGGGTAAAACTGGCAGGACTTGGTCAAGTACTAGAAATGGAGAGCAAGTGAAGAATTTTTCTAGGCTTTCCATCTTGTGCACCTAGGCGGTGGGGCAGCATCAGGAAAGGCAAGGTTGGGACATTACGGGTTTGTGCCTCTGAGATAGCAAAGTGCCAACAGTAGTTGGATAGAGAAATTGATGGTGCAGAATTAAGGGCTCAAAACATAAATGTAGGAGACACCAGCGTAAGACAGCAGTTGAATAATGAACTGAGACGAGGAGGCCCAGTGGACGGACGAGACTACAGGAACTTGAAAATGTTAATTGTGGCTCCACTGAATTATTTAAAAAGCGAAACCCTGAGCAGTCCTAATTGTAAATAGAATCCCGGCAACTAAAATGATCAGCTTCATTCTGCACCTGAATGTGATGCTACGCTGGAGCAGATGCACAAATTGGTTACCCACGCGGGTTGAATTCAGGGCTGGAGGACAGTTAAGGGCAGGGCAGAGAAGTAGAGAGGACGGCATTTGCCTCTAAGAGGGAATCGCCATAGAGCTTTAGAAGTGTTTGGGGTTTTCTTACGGATTGGGAAACCACTGCTGTCTCTGCTGGGTGTCCAGAGATGTTCCAAGTCCCGCCATGCATCGTTGGGTCCCCCAGAATGAGAAATGGTTGTTAGCACTACACATCAGGGTAGCACTGAGATGAAGGTGATGGTGCCTCAGGACTTAGGGAGAAACAGGAAGCGCTGTGAGCATTTGAAAGTGAGGATGTCGTATCAGTGGCAGGCCTTAGAAGAAAGGTATAAAACAATCACAGGAACTTTGAAAACCCGGGTCCTAGTTTTAAATCTCACCCCCACCCCACCCAGTGATGTAGAGCAAACTGTGTTTGCACATTTGAATAACTGGGGGAGTTAAAAAAGCAACACCAGACACCCAGTCCAGAACAAATTCAATGACTCCAGGATTATAATGAAAGACCACATCCCAGCTTTATCTTGCACACTGAGAATGATGGATGAATATTTATGTGTCAAGCCATACTGCTCTGAAAGCCCTGAGGGGTCATTAGCAAGCTGGATCTGCTCAGAATGCTTAAATGCAGGGACAGGTCTTCCAACAGTAGTTGAACCTCATTCTCCATCTACCCACCCTGCTGCCATGCTGGTCACCCCATGCCTCCCCGCCTCCCCACCAGAAAAGAGCTTCTCAGTCTTCACTCCACATTACAGTCCCCTGAAGAGTTAACTTTTGTTAAGTCATTACAGAAAAGTGCACGCATAAGTATATATAACCGTGGAGTCTGCATCCAGAGCAAGAATCAGGATATTGCCAGCACCCCAGAAGCCACCCCTCCCTCGAGTCACTACTGCCCTAAAAACTACTATCCTGATTCCTAATACTAAAGATCAGTTTTGCCCATTTTTGTACTTTTGACGAATGTAATCAAGTATGTTTTCTTTCCTGTCTGGCATTTTTTACTCAAATGTTAGCAAGCGTCCCTCTTACCTTGGGGAGCTTCTCCCTTCACCTTTCTTATTCACACATTGATTGGCTGATTGCTTCTCGGTGCCTTTTACAGATGTTTATGTCCTCACAGATGGAAGTATACATACATTCATATAGACCTGTGGTGCTGCCAGCTCTCAGGGCAGTTATAGAAAGACATGGCCCTTTTGATTTCAACTCTGAGTTCACACACAGTGGAGATGGGACAGAGGGGGAGGCCCAGCCCTGTTGTGTTTCAGTGAGGTCTCCCATGTTTTAGCCCCCATCAGTAAGGAAGGGTGCTGGGGCAGGGCCTGAATTCGAGACCCTTTGTGGACTTGCTGTCTGGATAGAATTAGCCATTGCCCAAAGTTTGGCTTCCTTTGTTTTTGCTTAAGCAAATGTGGCAGGACTCAAGATTTTTTTAACTCTTTATGCTTCTCTTTCAGACCACTCTTCCTTTAGAGCTTCCTCAGGTGAAACCAAAGAGAAATGATGAAGGCAAGGGACGAGGGATGCAGTTAAAAGGGCCCTTGGGGCCTGGAGGAAGGGGGTCTGCTGAGCTGAAGTCTGTTGCTGCTGGCTGCCCCATGTACCTGGGTAAAGATAGCCCAGGTCCCACAAAGGGTTCCCGGGAACCCACTGGCCCACTGCAGTCAGCAGCAGGCCCCTTGGAGGAAGAGTTAGATCTGCTGCTGAGTTTAGATGCACCTATAAAAGAGGGAGAGAACATCTTACCAGACCAGACATCTCAGGACCGAGGATCTGAGAAAGATGGGGAGGTGGCCCCAGAAGAAAAAGGTATGGCTTCCATTTGATTCCCTATCCCTCTTCCTGTTTTTCTGCAAACAGCCCCACCTGTGTCCCATCCATACACATCTCCATCAGCGTCTGACATCGATCTGCTGTGGTCCATGGACATCTATTTCTGTGCTCACATCCCCACTTCCCCCTGAGCTGACCTTTCTGACACCCTTCCTCCCACTCGATACACCCGGCTTCCAAAGCTGCTACCTGCCTGATTGCAATATTAAACCCGGGGCTGCAGATTGAACTCGAGCTATAAAAAGGCATTAAGCTTCTCCTGGTCCTCAGCTGTGCATCAGCAGGCCTTTTAATCGACTATCTGAACAGGCCAGTTAACCAACTCTCCAGACTTCTTGCTTGCTGTTTCGATCTTATTTTTTACAAAAGAGCACTCCCTCCCTTGTGTGCGCTCTGCGAGACAGTGGCCCATCTGATAGGGAGAGGCCGAGGGTGACTGCTGCATTCACACACTGCCTTGGAGAACCTTTGAAGACTTTCCAGGAGTGCTACAATAGTCAAAACTGAGCTGTTGGTCTTTTTTAAGAAACTAGTGAACGGTAAAAGGCAACTTCAGAATAACTAGAGGGGCAAATCTCTACCCCATTTATTGTGAGGATATTACTGTAACTGATTGAATAACAGAACGTTTCCCCTTGTTATAAGCAAACAGGTAGGGCTGACTTCTGTCATGGAACAAGCTCCAAGGCAGCCTCAACCCTCACTCTGGGGACCAACGTGTAGTTGTTAACACTGCTTTTATTTCCCCAGCTCCTGCAGAGCCCTCTGTGGTGGAAGAAAAGAACGTGGAACCGGAGCAAGCAAGTACATCAAAAACTGTTACCGAGGAAGAGCTCGAAGACTGGTTGGACAGCATGATTTCCTAACGTATAGAAAGAAAAATGAAAAAAAGTGCCTGAAGCAAATTTTGGTGGCCTTGTCAGCAAGGGCGGGCCCAAGGCTGTCCTTCCAGAACAGCTGGTTTACAAGCATGCCCCACGCCAGTGCGTTCTGTCAACGCTTGCCGCGGTACAGCCTACCTCTGTGTTCCACAACATGAGACTATACCTTTAAGAGGCTCCTTGCATTTGTTCTCTGGCTTAGTGATCTAGTAGATCCCTTAAGGGCAGGGGATGTTAGGGCTCTTGTTTCCAGCCTCCTTCCTTTCAATGTTTACGGCAGAGCAGGTGCTGCTGATAGACACAAGCAACAAGGCATGCATTTGGCCCAAATAAATGAATGCTAGTGTATGGACTTCCTTTCTTTCCTGGGTGGGGTTTTAGGCCATTTGTGTCGTGTCCCTTTTCCCAGCTGTCACAGTGCGGCTGCGGAGTCAGTGGCAAGAGGTGCAATGCAAGACGCCAACGCCAGAGAGTGGGGTGTATTACTTTATTGCAGTGGGCACTTCCTTTTATTTAAGGAGATTCACCTAAACACAGCAGCTCCACTACTTACAAGGGGACCAGAAAGCAGTACTCAATTTGGCATAAGATTGAACTTTTTCTGAATTTTCAGTACAGTACTTCTAATAACAGCAGTTGACAAGCTGTTACTGGAAAAAAAAATTATATGAATAACCTTCAAGTGCAGTTTCATAAAGACAGAAGATCACAACTAATTAATGGAACTATGTCCATCTGGGACATAAACATAAAAAATTTGCATAGCTATATCTAAAGAGATTTTTAAGGCACTTAATCGATATTTCAGTGTCGACAAAGTGTGTTTTTTTTTTCTATTTCTGTAACTGCTTAAAGCTTTTCAAGCTGATTCTGAATACATTCACTAGCAAGTACCATGGGAGAAATTTGCAGTTAAAATGATGTTTTTTGTAGTTCAGATCATGAGTCACTAGTGGATACTGTCATGTGACATTCAAGTGCGTAAAATTTCAGGTACAGTGCATTGAAGACTTCATATTTCTAGTCCTTTCCTCAATGACTGCCATTGTGACAAACTAGTTCCATTACAACTGAAAAACTTGAAGGTATTCAATTATAGTTTCCTTGCTTCTTTGCCCTCTTTTAACATTTTGAGAGGTTGTCTCCCACAGGGCTATGTCCATTAGGCACAAAAAGCCAAATCAATTCCAAGATCTCACATATTTTTAACAAACACTTTCTCATAAGGGAGGCATTTAGAATATGTCACATTTCAATTATTTTGCAGAACTGTAAAAGGATTTATTCCACTGGAAGTGGTCCAGAACTGTGGAGTTTCTTTCTGATTTATCCAAGCTGATCTTCATATTGTTTCCGAAAGCAGTCACCAGCTGGGAAGAAATCCCAACACCTTTCTTGGTACATCTTCCAGACATAAGATTCCTGAAACAATGGGAACAAAGGGTACTTCTTTTGAAACCACAGTAAGCTAAAACCTGCGTTGTTTTTACTCTGTAGGTATCCCTTTGGAAATAGTGAGGGGGTTTCATTTATATGAGGCCCAACTAGAACCTTCTTCCTTGCTCTGTACCCAGCCTAGACTATTTTGAGAGCAAAAAGTCATTCCCTACCTGACTCCTCCTTCCTTTCCCCGCAAAACTCAAAACACTGAACACCATGCAATGATTGCCAGTAAATTGCTTAAAGATCTAGAAATAAGCTCATTCTATGCCACTGGTACTTGGTAGTAGGCAGAATAATGCACAATGAGGGGACAGTGAGTGCTAGCTCGGGCAGACACCTGGGGCACTGAAGGCAGATCCAGAACCAAGTGCCTCACAAGTGTGTGAGCTGTGAAGTTTTCCTACAACCCTGATGATGTTGGGATACTTGATAACCTACCTTCTCTTCCCTTGTTCTCTATCTTTGCATTTCTTTCTCCTACTTAGTCACAGAATCCCTTTTGACACATACTTTCACTCATACTATCCACACCTCCACATTCCCTGCGCCACCCACACATGAGGTGGTTATCTTTCTCAGGCTGTCTCTCACACCATTTTACTCTCTTTGTTAAGCCGCCCACTCAGCTTCTCCTTGTCTTTTTCTCTGTAATGTTCTCCCCACCTCCAGCTATTCTACTCTGAAGCAGTAACCATAAGGGTTTAGAAAATGTCAGTGTTAGCTGGGAAGGATAACCAGAAAGTCTTTAGGAATAGATGGGAGTTGCCTTAGGATGTGGGGTTTCTCAGGTCACAAAGAGATGGCGGAATAACACAGAGGAAGAACGCATGTGAGACACTAAGGGAATCATCCGTCTACTTCAGACATTGGATGCTCTGGTGAGTCTCAAGGCTTCTGAAAAGGAAACTCAATGCAGGGCTATGATTTTTTTTTTTTAAATCAAAAAATTATTTTATTGTTTCTTCTGTTTTAAGCTCATGCCATTTTCTTTTTGTTGTTATTACAAAAGCAATTTAAATCATGACCGAAAGTCAGAAAACGTAGCCAAACAAAAAAACCAACACTCATAACCCACCAGCCAGAGAGACAAGCATTGCTAACACTTCTGTGACAAGACTTTCAGACCATTTTCCTCACTGGCTATGAGTTCAGGTAGCGGGGGAAGAGTGGTGTTTTGTCACATGTTTTCTAATCCAATGTAATATATTTAGTCAATCTAATTCTAAGTGCAGAAAACTCTAGACTGCAGGGCTATGATTCTTAAGATATTTTATTTCTCACCTGACCCGTGTGTTCTGTTTCATCTTTGTTAATCAGATACATCAGGAAGAACCTGGAACAAGAGAAAAAAGGTGTAAGTGAGAAAAAGACATTACTTTGGTTACTCTTTTTGTGAGGAGAAATTCTTTTGTCCCTAAACCTTGAGCTAAGACAACTTATGAGGAAGCATTTTGGCTATCTTTTTAAAAAGCCCTAAACAACCAAATGGTGACTAAAACGCTCTTAATAGGTGAACACAGAACTGAAATTACGTGTGTGTGTCTCCAGGATAGGTCATGGAAAAGGTGGGAAGTATTTAACCTCCTTAAGTTGCTGCGACTCTTCCAGAAATAGTTTTGTTTGTATTATGGATACCAGAGAAAAGTCCACGTAGTCTCACTTGTTCTAACTGTGATGGGTCTGAGGTTTGGGTCTGTTTTTCTGGAACACACAAGTATCAATGGAGGCGGGGGCTGATCATTCAGCTCACATTGCATGATCTCAGAGACCACTTCCAAACAAGCCAGTCTCTTGCCCTCTGAGTATAGGACTGTGAGGCTGGAGGTGGGGAGAACCCGAGCCCCAGATTTCACATCCTTTGGGGTGTCCTTAGGGTTATAGCTTCAGAAGCTATGAACAGATTTGGTTCCTTCCTCCCTCTTCCTTGATCAGACTAAGAAGAAGGTATGGCCAGTAGCTTTATGAGGTCTGATACCCAGGCATGTAGGACATTACTCCTTTCCTCGCACATTTATTTGACAAAGCACTGTTTTTAGGGGGAGTTTCAAACATGAATAAGGGGGTTCTCTCAAGTTTGCTGCTAGAGCTGCACAGAGCCAGAAGGGACATTGTTACAATACATAGTGCTCTGGGAAGACGTACAAGTGGGCCACATAGCACCATTTGACATTCCTCTATTCACGAGTCCTCACAAATGCTCCCCTTTTATAGAAGGACATCCATCCCAGTCACCTCCATTGAGACGAAAACTCTCTTACTGAGAATTAACAATCATGAATACTCACGACTTGAAGGGTATGCTAAAGTTTTTTTAGTTTTTGTTCTCGTTAGGATTTTTTTAAATTTGTGTTTTCGTCTTGAACTCACATTCTAGGGGGAAAAAAAAATAGGTCTTTGCTACTTCTCTTTAACAATAACACCTTTCCCAAAGGCTAGGGCTGTTCCATCCTAAGGAGAGGTTAGTTTTTCCTCAACAATAAAATGTTGACTCAGGGGGAAGAGTTAAGCCAGGGAGCTGCTTTTTTTCTTTTCTTGAACATGATCACGGAGAGAAACTGTATTGTCAGGTACTCTATATTCTCTAAGGTACGGGATTCGTAGACAGTGCATGGCACACAACAGGCTCTGAATAACTTGTTCTTGAGTGAATGCTCTACCTCAGAACAAGTACATACTTACTGGAGCTTCCAGGGGGCCAAGCTCTAGGTGCTGGGACACCCACACCCACAACTATCCCATGCTTGCAGAGCTTGTATGTTCAAGGAGAGGACGGGCAGGGTGAGGCCTGCAAACTGACCATGGAATCCGGCAACACACAGGGCGCCAACCGCCCTGATGGAGGCCCCTGTGGTGTGTTGGGGAGGAAGGCCTGACCAGAATGGGATCACCGGAGAATGGGAAGAGAAAAAACGGAGGCGGTAAACACAGACATTTTAAGTTTTGCTTAAAAGGAAAGACAGAAGCAGGGCAATAATAGCTGGAAGTAAAAGTAGAGTGGTAGCCTTTTTGCTTTGTTTAGGATTTTCAAAGAGAACGCATGTATGGTGATAGGGAAAGTCCGGTAGAGAAAGAGAAATGGCTGTAGTGATGTACGGGGTCTGATCCTGGGTGGAGGGGCTGACCGTGGCTATCAGTAGGAACGGCCCACAGCCCCCATCTGTCAACACCTGGGAGAGGCAGAGAATAGGGACAAAGGTGCAGGCTCTTGGGGGCTCCTTGAAATTTTTTCCTAATCACCTCTCCTTTTTTAGAGGAATAGGCAGAAATGGCACCCACAGAGGTGACACTGAGGACACAACTGTTTATTTTAATCTGCCACTCCTTCCCCCGGCCACTGGCCCCTCCATTGACCAAGGGTACTCACAAATAGTTGGCTAAGTTGTGCTCCTGTAAGGTGTGTGTTTCAAAACCATGAGGGGTCGTGTCAAAGTAATCATTGCCAATCCCGCAGATGAAACATTTAGTCTAAGAAGAATAAGAGAAGCAGTGAAGGCATTAGCAAACATGACATTACAGGTGGGTGGAAAGAAAGGGGTGATGAT